AAATAAATAAAATAAAATCAGAAGAAAAGCCACAGAAGGGAAAAATATCTGCCAGTGATATAACAGATAAAAGGGTATTACTGTACATCAACAAGAAAAATGAGCAATTCACAGAAAAAGAAAACTGGCTAATAAAAAAACTGGCTTAGCCTCACTGGCAAACAGAGAAATGAATACTAAAATACTAAGTAGAGAAAAAAATCACAGGTAAGAAATTTTCAGGTATCACAATAACAAAAATTAAAAAGTCTGGTCACATCAATATCTCTGAATACAATGCTAATGTGTTTGGGCTGTACTCTGAATTATTTGTTGTGTGTACTAATTTTACAGTAAACTTATAGCTTAAATAAAGGAGGTTGGCATAACTGGGTTTCAATATGGAAAAAAATTAAAGTCCTATTTAATGCCATCACAAAAAATAAACTCCCAATAGATTAAAAGTCTGATTATATCAATATCTCTGAATACAATGCTATTGCGTTTGGGGTGTACTCTGAATTGCAAGTTGATAAGATTTTCCAAAAAGGGCCATACGGTAAATATCTTAGGCTTTGAGGGCATTAAGGTCCCTGTCAAAAGTATTCAACTTCGCACAGGGCAAAAGCAACCATGAATAAACAATATGTAAACAAATGGGCAAGGCTCTCTTCCAAAAACTCCTCACTTTTATGGACACTGAAATTAGAATTTTATATAATTTTCACATGTCACAAAACATTATTCTTGTTTTGATATTCTTCAATTATATAATTCAAAATATAAAAGTCATGCTTGGCTGACAGGTCACATAAAAACAGGCTAGATCTGGCTCACAGGTTGTAGTTGACTGATTCCTGGCTTAAATATGAAAAATTTGTACATGTAAAAAGTATTTATTTTAGGGTGGCACCCATAGCTCAGTGGGTAGGGTGCTGGCCACATATACTGAGACTGGTGGGGTTCAAACCCAGCCTAGGTCAGCTAAAAAACAATTGACAACTGCAACCAAAAAAAAAAAAAAAAAATAGCTGGGTGTTGTGGCAGTTGCCTGTAGTCCCAGCTACTTGGGAGGCTGAGGCAAGAGAATCGCTTAAGCCCAAGAGTTTGAGGTTGCTATGAGCTGTAATGCCACGGCACTCTACCCAGGGTGACAGCTTGAGACGCTGCCTCAAGAAAAAGTATTTTCAGTGTTTAAGGTGATCTTAAATCTAGTATTTTCTTATCCAATAACCCCTGATATGGTTCACTTGAAATAAATAACATTATAAGGTTTCAAACAACAAAAAAAAGAAATGAAACAGTAGAAGGTATCATTATTTTGTTCACTCACCTGTCCATCGAACATTTCCTCAGGCTGCAGAGCTGACAGTGGAATGGTGGGATGAATAAATCTAGACTCAGGGGCCTGAAATCTAAGAGCCCCATAGAGGAGACACAAACACCATCCCACCACAAACTAAAACATGCCTTGGGAAAGGTTAAACCAACATGGGAATGTGCTACGCAGGAACATTTTGTCCAGGGATGAGGTCAGAAAAGCCTTGAAAGAATCCTAAAGTTAATAATAAAAACCATGCGATTTCCTGAATGCTCAAAAGATTCCAGACACTGTGCTAAAATAAATAATATCCCCTTAAATTTGCCACTAAAAGTACTGAGCAGGAAGAAGAAGCCAAGAAGGACGGTCACCAGCAGTGGAAACAGAGCTTCCCAAGGCACAGGTGTTCAAATGTATCTCGCATGATCAGGGAACCAGGTAGCCCACAGCAGGTGGAACGCGGGCACACAGTGAAAATGGTGTGACACAGGAATGGGAAAGCTAAAAACCATGAGAGGCCCTGAATACCTAGCAAAAGCTTCCAGACTTAAGCTAAGGGACTGTATGCAGGCAGGCATTCAAGGCTTTGAAGCAGAAGATGCAAAGGGACAAGATCTATGTTCTAGAAAGGTAATTCTAGAGCTAGGAGTTGGAGCGAGGAGCAATGTAAAAACTCTGAGGTCTAGAGGCTGGAAGAGGAGTAAGAAAGATGCCATCATTTAGGTGAGAGAAGACAAGGATCTAAACATGAGGAGAGGCAGCGGGAATGGAGGTTCTCAAGATACTCTGGGGAAAGTTGAGACATTTCCTGTTCAGTGATCTTTGTGGTCTATAAAAAGGGAGATTCAGCTGTCTGTCAAGTATGAATATTTGGGGGCAATGAGGAGCCTGGGGGAGCTGGTAGTTTGGAACAGCCCCTGAGGAAAATGTGAGAGAAATACGATCATAGTACAGGTCTCAGTAGAAGTTGGAGCTCAAAAACTAGCTCACATAGCCAAATTGCACAGCTGAGTAATTTTTTTAGCAGTGCAATAAAGCCTGGACACACGGGTGCAGAAAACCTGTACTTGGGTTTGGAATGGAGAACTGGCCACCAGCCAGCAATGAAGGTCAAAAGGAGAGGGATAGCAAATTGGCCCTTTTTCCTTCCTGCTGGTTAGAATGAGAACCTGGTAACAGGAGGTAAGGCAGCCAAGACAGAGTATGAGGTGAAAATGGAAATGACAGAGTCATTTGTTAAGTTTTCTACCACTTAAAGCCAAAACAAATCTAAATAATGTAGGTTGAACTGAGTAGGAAAAAGAAGTACAATAGGGAGAGGCTGATAAAGAAAGGCCCAAAGGGGCTCAGCGCCTGTAGCACAGTGGTTACGGATCCAGCCACATACACCAAGGCTGGGGGGTTCAAACCCAGCCTGGGACAGCTAAAAAACAATGACAACTGCAATAAAAAACAGCTGGGCGTTGTGGCAGGTGCCTGTAGTCCCAGCTACTTGGGAGGCTAAGGCAAGAGAATTGCTTAAGCCCAAGAGTTTGAGGTTGCTGTGAGCTGTGATGCCACAGTACTCTACTGCCACAGCACTCTACCCAGGGCAACATGGTGAGACTATCTCAAAAAAAAAAAAAAAAAAAAAGAAAGAAAGAAAAGGTCAAAGGGACTGGTGGATTGTCCTTGTGAGTAGAGAAGCAGGTTGACAGGGAGTGAGGCAGAAGAAAGAAATGCTGTGATCAAAGGGGCAATTCATTCAGCATTTGAGATTTCAGAAGCAGTACAGTTCCCAGGGAAAGACGTTAAATTCTAATCACCAGAGACAATCATGGCAGCTCATCGCTGACTGAGAATTTAGGAGGAGCTGCATACTCACTGTACTAAGCAAGTGCCATCTGTGAGTTAATTCACCCACCTCTTCCCCAAATCCCAAGGACAGACTGGGTGCAGTGGCTCATGCCTGTAATCCTCAGACTATGGGAGGCCCAGGGGGTTGGACTGCCTGATCTCACAGGTTTGAGACTAGCCTGAGCAAGAGCAAGACCACATCTCTAAAAATACCCAGGTTGGTGGTGCTCAGTGGGTAGGGTGCAGGCCACATAAACCAAGGCTGATGGGTTTGAACCCAGCCTGGGCCAGCTAAACAAGAATGACAACTGCAATAAAAAATAGCCAGGCATTGTGGCAGGCACCTGTAGTTTCAGCTACTCGAGAGGCTGAGGCAAGAGAATCACTTAAGCCCAAGAGTTGAAGATTGCTGTGAACTGTGATGCCATTGCACTCTACCCAGGGCAACAGCTTAAGATTCTGTCTTTAAAAAAAAAAAAAAAAAAAATCCCAATTATCAGTCCTGATTTAATGAGAAAAATCAGACTCAGAAAATTTCCTAAGATAGTCAGCCACTGAGTGGGGCTTGGAATTTGATTCAAGAGCCAGAACGCTGTCCACTGAAATACATTCTGCCTTCCCCACCCCCTTCATTCCTCCACCCCCAGAATAGAATGAAGAGCTTACCTGCAGCCACTTTCCCTGGAGAAGGAATGAGAACACCGCCCATGTCAAAAATCACTGCTTTGTAGGTGCTGCCTCCAAAATGTGTCCACCGGCAGGTTCCTTGGTACCCAGATTGGATGTGCTTCAGGAAGGCAAACCTCCAAGCCCACCGAAGAGAGGAGGACTGGAAAAACCTCTGTATGTACATGTTGAGGCTGAGGCTGTGTGAGAAGAAGGCACAAGGCACAGTTTGCCTTCACTGCCTCCAGCTCAGGCCTCCATCCTGCAGCTCAGGGGTGCCAGCCAGACATCTTCAACTGGATCAACAGACACTTCAAACCTCATCTACAGGTAACCTCACAGTCTCCTCCCTCCCTGACTACTGAGTAAAGGGCTCCATCATCCTCCCACTTGCCCATGTTAGAAAACGGGGACTCATTTAGTATTTCCACAGTCTTACTTCTAGTTGTTCTGTGCTGTCAATTCTTCCTCCCGAAAATCTCCATCTACCTCTCTCCATTCCCACTGTTACCACCTCACCCATGGATCTTAGCCAATTCTTCCTCCCGAAAATCTCCATCTACCTCTCTCCATTCCCACTGTTACCACCTCGCCCATGGATCTTAGCTGGTCCCCTTGCCTCTTCTCAAATCTCCCTCTAATCCTTTCTTCTCTCTTCAGTCAGAGGAATCTTTCAAAACTGCAAGTCTGGGCTCGGCACCTATGGCTCAAGTGGCTAAGATGCTAGCCACATACACCTGAGCTGGCGGGTTCAAATACAGCCCAAGCCTGCCAAACAACAATGACGGCTGCAAATAAAAAATAGCTGGGCGTTGTGGCAAGCGCCTGTAGTCCCAGCTAGTTGGAAGGCAGAGGCAGGAGAATCGCTTGAGCCCAGGAGTTGGGGGTTGCTGTGAGCTATGATGCCATTGCACTCTAACCAGGGAGACAGCTTGAGGCTCCATCTCATTAAAAAAACAAAAAAAAAAAACAAAAAAACCCCCTGCAAGTCTGATCACATTCGAGCCCCATTTAAAACCCTCAATGTTTTCCACTGCCCTCAAGATAAATTCTCAATTCCTTAACCTAGCTTAAAAAGCCCCCTAAGAGGCTTGGTACCTGTAGCTCAAGCAGCTAAGGCGCCAGCCACGTACACCAGAGCTGGCGGGTTCGAATCCAGCCTGGGCTTGCCAAACAATGACAACTACAACCAAAAAAAAAAAAAGCCAAGCATTGCAGGGGGCACCTGTAGTCTCAGCTACTTGGGAGGCTGAGGCAGGAGAAACTGCTTAAGCCCAGGAGTGGGAGACTGCTGTGAGCTGTGACACCATAGCACTCTACCCTGGGCGACAGCTTGAGACGCTGCCTCAAAAAAAAAAAAAGCCCTCTAAGATCTGCTTCCCCCTTTTTGTGGCAACTCCCTGTTTTTTCACCTCAAGGTGGATGATCTGGATGAAAATCTACATACAGTCTCCTCAAACATGAGCTTCTCCCCCTGCCATCAAGCCTTTGCACATGCTGTTCTTTTATTTGTTGCCTGGCTAATTCTAAAGGGTCCTGTGGCTTGTAGTTTACCTGTCATTGTCTTCATGAAACCTCTTCTGGCTATCAGAAAAGACACAGTAGGAGTCCTGTATGTATACTCCAAGATGTCCTATACTCATCCCTTCCGCCACCTGCACTTAACATACCACTGTCACATCAGCAGAACACCATTAGACCTCTCTGGGCTTGGACCTGCTTTGTAGCAATGTGGCTAAATGCACCAAGAAGGTTGGGATGGTTGGTAAATACAGGACCCGCTATGATGCCTCCCTCAGGAGAATGGTGAAGAGAATAAGTACACTTGCTCCTTCTATGGCAAAACCAAGATAAAGAGACAACCTGTGGGGATCTGGCACTATGGCTCCTGCATGAAAGCACTAGCTCGTGGTGCCTACATCTATACACCACTTCTGTTGTCTAACAGTAAAATCCACTTTCATAAGACTGAGGAATTGAAAGATCAATAGAAACTCCACCTTTTCTGACATTACTATCCTATAATAAATAAATGGGTTAATTTAGGCTCGGTGCCCATAGTGCAGTGGTTAGGGTGCCCGCCACATACACCAGGGCTGGCAGGTTCAAACCTAGTGCGGGCCTGCTAAACAACAACAACTACAACAAAAAAATAGCTGGGTATTGTGGCAGGTGCCTGTAGTCCTAACTACTTGGGAGACTGAGGCAAGAGAATCACTTATGCCCAAGAGTTGGAGGTTGCTGTGAGCTGTGATGTCACAGCACTCTACTGAGAGTGACAACAAACAAACAAATAAATAAGTGCGTTAATTTATGTAACAAAAAAACCCACCATTACCTCTCTTACTGACCACTGTAATAGCCCACTAACTGCTCCCCACTGCTTCTTTTCTAAACTTATTTTTAAAAGGTTCCGGCTAAGAAAAAACCATACACACGTAACACACAGATATAAGCATATACATATATCTACATATATAGACATAAGTATGGCCAAATATTAATAGTCAATCTAGGTGAAAGGTATATGAGATCACTGTACTTTTTTTCAACTTTTCCATTAAAAAGCTGGGAAATAAAACAAAAAAATCAAGGCAAATTCTGTTTACTTCATGAACATCTTTAAGTTGTTTTGTTTTGAGACAGAGTATCACTCTATTGCCCAGGTTAGAGTACAGTGGGTCAGCCCATCTGACAGCAACCTCAAACTCCGGGGCATGAGATCCTCTTGCTTTAGCCTCCCAAGTAGCTGAGACTACAGGTGCTTGCCACAAGACCTGGCTAATTTTCCTTATTTTTAGTAGAAATGGGGCCTTGCTCTTACTCAGGTTAGTCTCAAACTCCTGAGCTCAAGGAATCCTCCCTGAGTGCTAAGATTACAGATATGAATCTCTACTCCTGGCTACTTTAAGCTATTTATGTGATTTTTTTCTTTCTTTCTTTTTTTTTATGACATTGTGTTGCTCTGTTACTCAGGCTGGAGTGCAGTAGCATCATCATAGCTCACTGCAACCTCAAACTCTTGGACTCAAGTGATCCTCCTGCCTCACTCCCTAAAGTGTTAGGATTATAGGTGTGCGCCACCATACTTGGCCTACTTTATGGCCAAGTAAAGGCCATGACTTCTATAGTTAAAAAGCTTGCTAAAAATCAAGCAAGACCAAAATAGGCTGGTAACACAGCTCATGAGTTTATGAGTCACTTCAATGCTGCCAAAAGGACCCAGAAAACTATAAAGATTGAGCATTCCTAATTTGAAAATCTGAAATTCAAAATGCTCCAATATCTTAAATTTTAGAGTGCTAATATGACAAGTGAAAAATTCCAGGAGTACTTAACACAAACTTTCTTTCATGCACAAAATCATTTAAAATATTGTATATTACCTTGAGGCTATGCATATAAAGTGTATTATGAAACACAAATCAACTTTCTGTTCACACTTAGGTCCCATCCTCCAAAATTTCTCATAATGTACAGGCAAATATTTCCAAACAAATACAAAATTGGAAATATTTCTGATTCCAAGGATTCTGGATAAGAGAAACTCAAGCTGTGTGAGATTCTAAAGAAAGGGTCAGGCACAGTGGCCCACGCCTGTAATCCCAGCACTCTGAGAGGCCAACGTGGGTGGACTGCTTGAGCTCAGGAGTGGGAGACCAGCCTAACCAAGAGCAAGACCCCATCTCTAAAAAATAACCAAGTGTTATGGCAGGTGCTTATAATCCCATCTTGAGAGGCTGAGGCAAGAGGATAGCTTGTGCCCAAGAGTTTGAGGTCTCTGTGAACTATGATGCCTCGGCACTCTACTGAGAGCAACAAAGTAAGACTCTGTCTCAAAAAATGATAATAATAATAATTCTAAATAAAGGAATCTTAAGAAGTAGATCTTTTTTTTTTTTTTTTTTT